GCTCCAGGAACAGCTCCAAGGGCAGCTCGGGGCATTTATTCACCACGCTGGGACATAAAAATAACATCTTTAATAGCTTTTGATTGGCACAGATGGCATCCAAACTCACCACGGTTTATTACTAGACTATGGAACCACACATGGTGCAGTGCAGGAGGGCAGCTCCGACCCCACASGGCCCTGGAACCACGGAGCTGCCACAGCTTGGGGCTGGAATCGACTCTTTTCATTTACATTCAGCTTTTATAGAGTGAAACCAACAGCGAGATTTAACCACACACACACACACACACGGAGCAAAGCCTGGGGAGGATGTTCCTGCTGGCAGCTGAGCTCTCCTCCTCTGAGCAGCCACAAAAGCCCCAAAATGAGCTGTGACACAGATTGTGGGACTGCCCAAACAACTCAGGACAACTCAGGGGCTTCTGCTCTCACCTGAAAGAAATTCACTGCAGTGACAGTCCCATTTCCCTCTTCCAGGAGCAGGAAAGCATGTTGACACAGCCTAGACGCTCTCTCTGTGACCAAAGGATCTTTTTTCAKGAACCCAGAACGCAGTGGGACAATAACATTTCCCTTTCTGAAGTATTTTCCCAAGTGAAGCTCCCTGCTGCCCTGAGCCAAGCATTGTTTTCCTCACACGGGGGCAGAGGGGATGGCACCAAACCATGAGGGACTCACCTTGCAAAGCAGCAGCAAGCTGGTGGCAGAGCAGGGGGCTGKCAGAAAACCCCACTTCTGACCAAAAAACAGCAGCAAAACTACCGGGCAGGATGAAAATAATTCCAAACAACAAAGGAGGAAAGGAAAGGACGGGAAGGGGGAAAGGATCCTRGACTGGGCAGACTTGGGAAAAGTAGTGTCAGCCTGAAAAGGTCAAAACTGAGCCCAAAAAGACTCTCCCACATTTGTGATGTGCAGCCAAAGCTCACCCGTGAGCTCCTCACTGTCCCCTGTGCCCGTCCCTGTCCCCTTTTCCATACCCACATGTCACACCATGGCCTTATCCCAGCTCCTGTGGAACCATCCCACGTGCACAACTTGTATTTGGGGAACATTTAGAGGTTTCTGGCAAAATCATAATGTGTTGAATGAAGAATTTAGTCCTTAGTGAAAACTGCTGCAGTGACACCCACCTTACCCAGCCTGACAAACCCAGCTTTTCCAACCCCAAAGTCTCTGTCTCTTGATGACCCACAGCCATTCCAACCCTCAATTTCCTTGTTGGTTGTGAAGATTTCCAGTTTCTATGGGGTGCTCTACAATCACAATGATCATGAGGCATTTCTGGCCTCTGCTCCAAGGAATTCCCTCTCACCATCAGGATCGGGTGCCGACACAGAGGGAGGTAAAATGCATAGTGAGGTGTCCCACAGCGAGGTCTCTCCTCAAATGAGGCCATTTTTGTTTCACTTTAGTGCCCCTGCACTGTCACAGCCTCTGCTTGGCCTTTATTTCCAGCGGGGTCTTTGCCCCCCATRGCTTTGTTGGAATAATCCCTCTCTCCAAAAATAGTGCTGCCAATCCTGACGTTKGTAGATCCAACCTCTATCTGGAAGAGAGAGAGAGAAGAGGGTCAGGACAGGGATGCCCCCACCCCACAGGAGGGTTCCTCATGGACTCACAGCCACACCCAGGGGCTCCTTTGATGCCAGGAACCTCCCCCAGGACCAGCAGAGCTGCACTGGGATCTCCATCCAAGGGAAAGCCTTAGGGGCAGCTCCTGGGGCTGGAATTTGTGGTGGAGGTGTTGTTTGTGCCCCGAGGGAAGGGGCAGGGACACACTCACTGCGTGCTGGAAATCYGTGGACATGCCCATGCTCAGCTCCACCTTCTCCACAGGGAGGTTGAGCTTCTGGCACACCTCCTGTCGCAGGGACAGCAGCATCTGCAGGGCAGGAGGGAAGGGGACAGGGTCACAGAGCTGCCCAGCTGCACCCCAGATCCTGCCCCTCAAATCTCCTTCACACAGGACACACAATTCCCACAATAGCACCGTAACGAAAGCACAGAAGTGTCTGAAGACTTCCCAGATTTACTGGGTGAACAGTGACATTTTCCCCAAGAAATCTTACCTGGAAGTCAGGATTTGGGCCCTTACTGAGGTCATGGCCAATGCTGCCAATGGTCATCAGCCCCACGAATTCCAGGCTGGGGCATTTGTTGATGACATGCTCCACAGCAGCAGTGGTGTCCCCGGGGGGAAGGCCGTGCTTACCTGGAAAAAACAGGGAGATGTGTG